AGGCCAGAGGTGCAGGTGGGTGAGAGAATTCACCAGAGACAGAGAGGGGAGCAGAACAGGCAGACAAACACACGCTGCGGAAGCTGCAGACAGCTTCACAGTGCTATACTCAAACTGCTGTGCCACCAGGGAGGCCCAAGATAGCTGGGATATTGGTGGTAGATATGTAAATTGTTGTGTAGTGATAACTGCAGAATACATGCAGAATTTCAAGGCAACGTTAAAAGTGCATTAATAATCAATCCTGTTACAAAATCAACACACAAAAATCAATAGCCTTCCTATACACTAACAATCAATCTGAAGAAGAAATCAAGAAAACCATCCCTTTTATAATTGAAACAAAAAAATCAAATACTTGGGAATAAACTTAACAAAAAAGGTGAAAGACCTATACAAAGAAAATTATAAAACATTGTTAAAAGAAATAGAAGAAGACATAAAGAAATGGAAAGACAGGGCCTCCCCTGGTGGCGCAGCAGTTGAGCGCTGGGCTGGGAGGCTGCGCACAGCCTCTGCAACGACTGTTCATTCCCTGGCCGCCGGTGAGTGTCCCACAAAAAAAAAAAAAAAAATAAAAAAAAAGAAATGGAAAGACATCCCTTGCTCATGGGTTGGAAGAATTAACATTATAAAAATGTCCATCCTACCAAAAGCAATATACAGATTCAATGCTATTCCAATAAAAATCCCAATGACATTCTTCAAAGAAATAGAACAAATACTGATGAAATTCATCTGGATCCACAAAAAAAAAAAAAAAAAAAAAAAAAAAAAACAAAGGAGAAAGGAGGTATCATACTTCCAAACTTCAAGCTATACTACAAAGCCATAATAATTAGAACAGTTTGGTCTTGGAACAAAAACAGACACACAGACCAATGGAACCAAATTGAGAACCCAGAAATAAAACCACACTTACATGGACAACTGATCTTTGACAAAGGAACAAAGAATACACAATGGAACATGGGCAGTTTGTTCAATAAATGGTGCTGGGAAAACTGGACCCCACATGCAAAAAATTGAAACTAGACCACTACCTCTCACCATACACAAAAATCAACTCAAAATGGATAAAAGAACTGGCCTTAAGTCCGGAAACCATAAAATATATAGAAGAAAATATAGGGAAAACACTACAAGACATACATCGCAATAACATCTTTAAAGACTCATCACCCAAAGCAAAGAAAGTCAAGGACAAGATAAACACCTGGCATTACATCAAACTGAAAGGCTTCTGCACAGCAAAAGAGACATTAACCAAAACAGAAGACACCCCACTGATTTGGAAAAAATCTTTGCACTCCATTCAACTGATATGGGACTGATCACAAACATATACGAAGAACTCACAGGACTCAACAAAAACAAAACAATCCAGTCAAGAAAATGGGCAGTAGAACTTAATAGACATTTCTCCAAAGGGGAAATGCAAATGGCCAAAAGGCATATGAAAATATGTCCATCATCCCTTATAATCAGGGAAATGCAAATTAAAACCACATTAAGATACCAACTTACATCAGTAAGAATGGCACCTATCAAAAAAAAAAAAAAAAAAAACAAGCAACAACGAATGTTGGCAAGGATGTGGTGAAAAAGGGACTCTCCTACATTGCAGGTGGAAGTGCAAACTGGTCCAACCACTATGGAAAGTTGTGTGGCGGTTCCTCAGTCTACTAAAAATGGAGCTACCATACTAACCGGCAATTCCTCTACTGGGGATCTACAAGGGACACAAAAACATTGATTCAAAAGACCACCTGTACCCCTATGTTTATTGCAGCACTAGTTACAATAGGTAAAACCTGGAAACAACCCAAATGCCCAAAAATAGATGACTGGATCAAGAAGATGTGGTATATACACACAATGGAATACTATTCAGCAATCACAAAACAAACTCATGCCAATCGCAGCAACATGTATGGAGCTGGAAGGGATTATGGTCTGCAAAAAAGTCAGAAGGAAAAAGAAAAATATTGGATGGTTTCACTTATAGGAGGAATATAGGGGAACCAAATAACTCTCAAGGGAAAAATAATAACAATAAATAAAAAAAATTAACAGGCAACTATAAATCAGAGACATTCTGCAGGGGAGGAGGAGGGAGAGGTATCAGAGGGAGGGAGGGAGGATCACAGGGGACTGAGTGCATTGGTGAAGGAAACTCTATGGGGACTACACCTGAGGGGGTGGGGGAAGCAAATATTGTTTAAAAATGCAAAATGATGTAAAAAAAAAGAAATTACAAAAAAAATCAATCCTATTCCAATCAATATAATAACTACTAGAAACAGATAATCCACTTTTAATTTGCTTTCTCTATAATCAGGCAATTAAATTAAAGCATTGGAACTTTTTACCGATATAGAGATCACTTTTATCCCATTTAATACAACTCACTTGTTTTTCCTTTTACTGCCTTTATTATCTTTTAACTGTGCTTTGGTTAGCCTATAAACAAACAAAAAATTGGTTTCTTCAATGTTGAGAATTAAAACAAAAATCAAACACAACTCTTTATACAATTTGGTTAAAAGATGTATCTTATTTGTTTCTATATAGCTGTTACATTATTTTATTCCTTTTATAGTGCCCTCTTCCACTCCTCAGCAATGGGGCCCAATGGTCTATGGTGGAAGAATATGGGTACTTTTTTTTAAGATTTATTTTTATTTATACAAGAGCCAGGGCACAGGCCAGAGTTGCAGGGTGGTGAGAGGATTCACCAGAGACAGAACGGGGAGCAGAACAGGCAGACCAAAAGCACTGCTGAGAGGAGTAGTGCGCGAGACAGGAGAGGTCCGCCCCACCATGTGGGACTCTCCCCGGCTGGCGGGCAATCAAACCAGGACTGAGGAGGCTGCAGACAGCCTCACAGCGCTGCGCTCAACCCACTGTGCCACTGAAGGCCCAGAATATGGGTACTGTGATGGTGGGAGTGGTGTGGTAACATACATCTGAATATGTGTGTGAACCTATTCCCCTAAATCATGTACATGTTGTAAACCAATGTCACCTTAACAAAGAAAAAAAAAAAAACAGTAGACATCTTATATTTTTCATCACAGAGCCAGACACAATGAGGTTACCATGATGGAGAGAGGATTCTTTCTACCCCAGCCTAACTTATCAGTATTAGTTATCTAAATCAGTATTTTAATAACTGTTCTTCCTTTCAGATTTGAATGTGTTAAATATTGGCAGGCATTTTTTCTTAGGTTAATGTACTTAAGAACAGAGTGACAGAGTGAAAACATTGCAGAATGTTTTCTGTGACAGAGTGAAACAATGCAAAACATTTCTCTGAGTTGATTAATACTTTCATTCTATAGATACTATTTTCTTTTAGTTTTTAATGTATTACACTATTACTGTTGGCCAGGGTAGTCTACTGTTTTATTGAATACAGCATGGAAGCATCAAAATAGTACCAATTTGGCCTCCCCGGTGGCACAGCGAGTTGAGCACAGCATTGTGAAGCTGTCCACAGCCTCTGTAGCGCAGGTTCAATTTCCAGCCGGCCAGGGAGAATCCCACATGGCATGGCAGACCTCTCCTGCCTCACCCACTGCTCCACTCAGCAGTGTCTTTGGTCCGTCTGCCTGTTCTGCTCCCTGCTCTCTCTGGTGAATTCTCTCACCCTTCAGCGCCTCTGACCTGTACCCCAGTTCTTGTATGAATAAATAAATATTTTTTAAAAAGTACCATATGGTATTCAGAATGTTTTCATTTTAATATACAAAAATACTGTTTTTCCCCTGAAATTAGTATTTTTATTTATTTTTATTTTTAAGATTTATTTTTATTTATGTATACAAGAACAGGGGTGTAGGCCAAAGGTGCGGGAGTGAGAGGATTCACTAGAGACAGAGTGGGGAGCAGAACAGTCGGATCTACTGAAATACATTGCTGAGGGGATCAGCAGGCGAGACAGGAGAGGTTTGCTGTGCCACATGTGGGTTACCTCCCTGGCTGGGGATCGAATTCTTGCCACAGTGGCTGGCGACTGCTTGATAGCACTGAGACTTTAACCCCTACACCACCAAGGAGGCCCTATTGGTGTTTTTCAAGGGATGATTTAACCATAGGTTAAATAAATACTGCATTGTCATTTCTTACTATTTCTCATAGGCATTAACATTCTCTCTTGGAAACAAATTCAGAATAAAATATTCAATAACTCTTTCCCATAGGCATATTCTATCTATACTTCTTTGGGCTACTAAAGTACACTATGATCAAAATTTGTCTCTTTATGTGTAAGTAGGTTCATGTGTATTTATGTTTTGACAGTTTCTAAAGCACAGGAGACTACTTCTATGTATAATCTTTTGTGATAGATAATGATACTTGCTAGCTTTCTGTTTTAGAAACCTAAGAAAAACTTTTTAAAGTCTTTGTTAGTCTTCATGTTTATTTGAAAAAAAATATTGGACCATTAAAATATAAGAAGAAAAATAGCATATAGTGTAAAAGAACATTTTATTATAATTATGTATTATTCAACATAATACTTTAAATTAAATGGAAATAGTCTAATTATGAGGGAGTTGGTACTACTATTGGGGTTACTGTTCCTTTGCTCTTCTTTCTTACTTTCCTTTATTAGTGGTTCTTAAAGTGTAGCTCCTTGACCAGCAGCCATCGATATCACTTGGGAAACTGGTAAAAATGCAGGTATTCAGGCCACAAACTCTGACTTGAATGAGAAACTCTGAAGGTGGGACCCAGAAATATATATGTTTACAAGCCTTCCATGTAATACTGATTTATGCTGTAATATTTTTTTCTGTTTGACTCTCCATTTCTCTCCGCATATATATGTGTGTGTACATACATATTATATACATAATTTGTAGGACTACTGGCTGGGGAGGGGCAATTTCATCAGATTACTAATATGTGATATTTATCTAGGGACTCTAATCTTGCTTTTATTCTTGCTTTTTTTCTCCTCCCTAGTTTTTCTGATTGATTCATGACTTTATTCAGTGATAAGATGAAAATTCCTGTCTTCATTGAAGGATCCACTGAATCATTAACACAACTATATCACATCCTAGAAAGGTGTTCTTTCCAAGGTAAGTCTTAAGTCTTCTCTGATTCTCTTTGAAAGTATCATTCTAAAATTAAGAAAAATGTAATAAAAAGGACTACATTCCTCTTCTTTTCCCCAGAACTGAAGAACCATAGGATAGTAGTGGGGAGAAAAACTATACTTTATTATACAATAATCTATTCACAGCCCTTTAGGAAATCTTGGCAACCTGTATTACCTTGCTTCCCAGATGAATTTAACCAATTGAATAATGGAAACCACTTTGTTTTTTATTTCAGAACAAGATTTATATGCTCTGCAAAATAGTGACCTATTGGTGATCTTTACATTTGGAAAAGATTAATTAATAATTTCAGTTTTGTGCTTCTATTTGAGTTTATGTGGAAAATTATTGAAGGATTTGTATTGTGATTTTGAACTTTCAGTCCATGAAAATATACTTTTATACTTAGTGCTTATAAACACACTTTCCATAACTAAAAGCTATACTATATCGAAGATAAAACATAAGCAAAGTGGATGAGGTTGTTGGAGTTTCCCCACCTTTAAAGTGAAAGTCATCCAAAATTTATATTTATTTAGTCATGAATTTTGGTTTAGTAATTCAAATTAAATTTTCCAACAAGTTTTGTAATGTTTTTATCTTTATATATAAGGATTTGTCATTCTTAGTATGGCAACTAAGTGCTGAGCTATAACCCATACATGAAGATAAATCTTATTACCTTAATATCATAATTAAATTTTATACAGTATTATGTTGGTATATTATATTATGTTGATATAAATAGATATGCCAGAGAAGCATACCATTGTTCTCAAATCTTGATTATCTGTTAGTAGAGATAAATAGAGGTATGTAGGACATGTATTTCACTGTTTCGTATGAGTAAATGAATGATTCAAAGCAAGACTTCCTATTTCTTGGTTTGAAGGAAACCATTTGGAATCAAGGACTCCTGCATTCTGGCAATAAATTAACTTAATCATATCTTTGGATGGCTTTATTTTTACACAAAGAACCTGGAAACTCTATATGGAAAGAATTTGGTAATTCAGTAATGTCAGTATACCAACTTCAATGATCTTTATTTCCAGATCATTGGCAATTAGAATTATAGATTTACATGGGGATTGGGGATTGTAGGTCTCAAATAAACCATTGAATTTTAGGGCCTCCCTGGTGGTGCAGGTGGTTGAGCGCAGGGCTATGAAGCTGTCCGCAGCCTCTGCAGTGCCGGTTCGATCCCCGCCGGCCTCGGAGCAACCCACATGGCGAGCAGATCTCTCCTGTCTCACCCACTGCTCCCCTCAGCAGTGTATTTCATCAGTCTGCCTGTTCTGTTCCCCACTCTGTCTCTGGTGAATCCTCTCACCCTCCCGCGCAGCTAGACTGTACCCCAGCTCTTGTATAAAAAATAAAAAAATAAATAAAAAACCATTGAATTTTAAACTTCCTACTAATATTGACAAAGAAAATTTGTCATAAAGGGAAGGAAAATTGCCATTTGAAAAATAAAATTTGTATATTAAAAAGGAATTTTTAAAGCTTTTTCTATATTCTCAATTAAAATTACATAGCTTACATGTGATATTCTGAAATATTTATTAGGTAAATGATCTTTCTAAAGCCTTTACATGAAGGCAGTCAATGTTATCAGTTATTCTTCTCCAGATCAAGACTTTGAGGATAACAAACTTTGTTGGCTTTAAACAATTCAGTGATAATTCCGGGAAAAGGAATTACAAAATAGGCATGCTAGCTCTCATAACCCCATTTTGTGGGACAGTTTATCCCATAATAAAAATAAGTCATCTTGAATTCACATTTATGGGGATTTCATATAGAATGAAACAAATAGATTTAGTAATATATTCTCACTTACATGGATCTGCCATTGCTTGTTTTTTTTTCAAAATGTGACTGTCAAATTCACTTTTGTAGCTCTCAAGTAACATGATTTAATTAGCTCTAGTTCTACTTGAGAAATATATACTACTGCTTTCCCATATGGGCCTGGTAGAATGTTTCCCACAAGGAAAGGTGGGGAAGGCTGTTCTGCCAAGGTGGTAGTGACCAGTCGACATTCACAAGCACATCTGTGAAGTTGACTTCAATAAGTACGCAACACCCCCCACCCTCATCCCACCATTCAAAGAGATCCAGAAATTTGCCATAAAGGAAATGCGTACTCCAGATGTGTATATTGATACCAGGAAAAACAAAGCTGCCTGGGCCAAAGGAATAAAGAATGTTCATACCTTATCTGTGTGCAGTTGTCCAGAAAACATAACGAAGATTCACCAAAGTATACATTGAATATCTATGTAACTGTCAGCCCTTTCAAAAATCTACAAATAGTCAATATGGATAAAAACTAACCACTGATTGTCAAATAAAGTTATAAAACTATATATATAATATAAGATATAATATATTATATCTTATATTATAATATATTATATCTTATATAATATATTATATCTTATAACTATTATCACACTATTATCACAACACAACACTAAATTCTACATTTTCAGATTATATCCTAGTAGGTCCCTAGATAGGCAAAATATGAATATCATCTATACAAATATGTCTTAAGCTTCGTATCAGTTTTTCTGAAATTCAGAAAAGAATGCCTAACCCAAAGATATGTCTACAATGAACTTTATTTCTTTCCTAGATTTGTTTAGATGGCTTAATAAAGTATTTAAAGATCTGTGTAATAGCTATAATTGTGCTAATTACCTAATAGTATAATTTAATTGAATTTATAGTGTTTATAATTTTAATTTCTTAAATACCTCTCCCCAACTATAAATTTTTCTGAACATATATTGCACATTTATTTTTATTTATTTATTTGTTTGTTTAAGATTTATTTATTTATTTATACAAGCACTGGGTACAGTCAGAAGCGCAGGAGGGTAAGAGAATTCACCAGAGCCAGAACAGGGAGCAGAACAGGCGGAAGGACCAAAGTACACTGCTGAGGGGAGCAGCAGGCATGGCAGGAGAGGTCTGCGCACCATGTGGGACCCTCGCCTGGTGGCTGGGGATCGAACCAGTGCTGCAGAGGCTGCAGGCAGCTTCGCAACCCAGCGCTCAACCGCTGCACCACCAGGGAGGCCCATATATTGCACATTTAAAGAAAAAAAATCAAGTTCAGGAATCTTATGCTCTTGTATGTACTTGGTCTTATTCTGGATACAAATTTAATAATCTCATTTGTTTTCCATTTTAAAGTGACAATCATTTCCTTCAACCAATGTTTTAAATTTTTATTAATTTTTTAATGAAGTACTGTTGTTTTACATCCTTTTAATATTTTGACAGTATAGGATTTTTCCCCTCAAGTGTGATTACCCTAGCTCTTCCAACACAAAAACACCTGTAGTCCTCCACCACAGTCCATTGTACTCTCCCTAAACCCCAGTCCATTCTCACTCCTCCCCCTCTGGATGTCCCAGATCTGATGAGCTTTCAAGGGTTGATTTTAATATTTGTCTTTTTTTTTTAAAGATTTATTTATGTATACAAGAACTGGGGTATAGGCCAGAGGTGTAGGGAGTGAGAGGATTCACCAGAGACAGAGTGGGGAACAGAACAGGCAGATTGACTGAAACACACTGCTGAGGGGAGCAGCGGGCAAGCCAGAAGAGGTCTGCTGCACCATGCAGGTAGCTCCCTGGCTGGGGTTCAAACCTGCACTGCAGTGGCTGCGGACAGCTTTATAGGTTGTGTCTTAACCTCTTGTGCCATCAGGGAGGACCGATTTTAATATTTGTCGTTGACCCTGTGTTTGGTTTCTCTATATGCCTATATAAGTGACACCATTTGGTATTTATCTTTCTCCTTCTGGCTTTTTTCACTTACCATAAGCCCTTCCACCTCCATCCATGTTGCAGCAAATGTCATGAATTTATCTTTTTGGATCACTGAGTAGTATTCCATTTATATGTATATCATACCTTCTCTATCTACTCAGCTGTTTTGGGGCACTTGGGTTGTTTCCATACCATGGCTATTGTAAATAGTGCTACAATGATCATTAGGAGTGAATGTTTCCTTTCAAATTAGTGTTTTTGTGTTCTTTGGGTGGATTCCCAGGAGTGGAATTTTGGGGTTATATGGCACACCCTTTTGAGGAACTTCCAAACTGCTTTCCATAGAGGTTGGACCATTCTATATTCCCACCAACAGTGTAAGAGGGTTCCTTTTTCTCCACACCCTTGCCAGCACTTGTTGTTTCTGCTCTTTTTAATATGGGCATTCCTCACTGGTGTGAGATGGTATTTCATTGTGTCAACCAACATTTATTAAAGTGTTATGGGCACATGGAAGAAATGATCAATTATATACAATACTTATCCTTAAGCAATTTAAGGAATTCATATTCTAATAGTGGACTTCAGTAATAGTCTTTAAAATGAGACTAGTAATATACATAAAACTGAATATTACTTGTCACAAGGCTCTGATGCTTTTGGATTAAAGATGCTATAGCTATATATATATTTAAATATTATGCCATTTAGTCCATTGAGTTCTAACACACATGGTCATGCTCTCAAATCTCACTTTAAATTCATGACAATTAACCTCAACAATGTACTATGACTATGACATGAACAAAATTTATACCTCCAATTATAATTATTTACATGAAGAAGATTGAGAAAGACCACCATTTTATATCAACAATAATTATAACTCTAATAAATCCCTGAGAATGTCTGTTTGCATACACCAATATATCTAAAAATTTTGACATAATCATAATGGCTCTCATTTACTTCTAGATTTTAACATGATTTGATGCATTGATAAAATTATTTGTAGTATCAGTTCGGTTTTATGTTGAGGGTAAGTCTCTTTTAAACTTTTCCATATGCTTTAGGTATAGGAATGATTTCAAGATGCTAACATTTCCTTTCAATATTTTGCTTGTTTTTTAGTTGATCTACTGACTTCACAATGTCTATAATCAGATTCAATAATCTCACTTGGGATCAAGTCATAACACTGGATCAAGTGCTAGATGAAGTAATTCCAATTCATGGAAGGGGGGATTTCCCCACATTGGAGGCAAAACCAAAAGATAATCATTGATGTTGTGAAAGATCAACTGATTGAGCAAGGAATTATTGTTAAAGATGCACGATTGAATGGTTCTACAGCAAGTTACATACTTGCAAGCCACAATGGACCCAGCTATAAGGATCTGGATGTTATTTTTGGTGTTGAATTACCAGATGATCAAAAATTTCAGGCTATTGAGGGTGCAGTTCTAGGTTGTCTACTCGACTTTTTACCAAAAGGTGTAAAAAAGGAAAAGATTACTGTAAAGACCATGAAAGAGGCTTATGTGCAAAAGATGGTCAAAGTTTGCAATAAACATGATCATTGGAGTCTCATCTATCTTTCACATAATTCTGGGAAGAATGTAGAACTATAATTTGTGAATTCACTCAGACAACATTTAAATTTAGTGTAGATTCCTTTCAAATTGTTTTGGATATCATGTTAGACTTCTATAGAGACAAAAATGTTAAGCTAACCAAAGAATACTATCCTGTTGTGGTAGCTGAAAGCATGTATGGAGACTTCCAAGAAGCAATGATACATTTGCAATACAAGCTTATATCTACCAGAAAACCTGAAGAGATTAGAGGTGGTGGTCTTCTGAAGTATAGTAACTTGCTGGTTCATGACTTTAAGCCAGCTTGTGAAAAAGAAATCAAGATGATGGAATGTTATATGTGCTCTATGTTCTTCATTGATTTTCCTGATATAGCAAAACAGCAAAAGAAGGTTGAATCATACCTCTGCAACCATTTCATAGATGAAGGAAAAAGCAAGTATGACTACCTTCTGACTCTGCATGGAGTTGTAAATGAAAGCACTGTTTGACTTATGAGACATGGAAGGAAGGAAAGAAGGAAGGGAGGGAGGTAGGGAGGGAGGGAGGAAGACAGATAATGCCATTTCTAATAGGATGAAATGTACTCTAGACTCAGATTTAAAGTCTATTAATTCCTTTGTACCGAGATGCTGGCACAGTTAGGCAACTTACTGTGAAGAAAGATTATGACTTATTGTATCATTCAGAGTTCAAACTGGTTTAAATGATAAACTAACTTTTTTAAAAATTAACCACCATTTTAGCAGTGTTATATGCTTTTGTACTCTTATCTTTTTTTAAAGATTTATTTATTTATTTATTTATACAAGTACTGGGTATACTCAGAAGCGCGGGAGGGTGCGAGAATTCACCAGAGCCAGAGCAGAGAGCAGAACAGGCAGAAGGACCGAAGTACACTGCTGAGGGGAGCAGCAGGCGGCAGGAGAGGTCTGCGCACCATGTGGGACCCTCCTCCTGTGGCCGGGGAGCAGCCGGGGATCAAACTGGCACTGCAGAGGTTGCGGGCAGCTTCGCAACCCAGCGCTCAACCACTGCGCCACCAGGGAGGCCCAACACTTCTTAAGAATTTTTAAACATTAGATAAGTTGTATTTCAGTTTTGATTAGTATATCTAATATTATAAGTCAACCTAGTTAAACATTTAAAAACAAAAGTCATATACCACTTTAGACTTAAAATATATAACTAAATGTCAAAGTATTCAGTTACAAACATTTTGACTTCCTATATAATTATTATTACATTTAAACATAAAACTATTAGTAGAGAGTCACCTTCATTAATTATATCAGTATTGCATTTACTGAAAAATTTTAGTATATTTCATGTATTTCACTCAAAAAGCATAGATGTTTTCCAGTAAATATTGGAAATAATCATTTGGATTATCTGAATTTTCCAGATCAGTCTATTATAATTGAATGATATTTTCCTATGTCTGTCTTTTCCAATTTGTCTTTAAGTTCTCAATTTGTAAATGACTAATGCTAAAACAAAGTGATATCAGAAACTCTTATTTGCTTTTTAAATATATTCTTCTATTTTAAAATAAATTCCATATATCTCTGAAAAATATACCTACTTTATATGCATACACTGCTACTGGATTTAATTGAAAAGTAGAGTTCCTTTTGACATCAGGTGGCTAATTGTTCCTGTTTAGATTAAGTGAAATCATTGTTAGTAACTTCCTTCTAGTTTGAAAAGCATGAAAATCTAGAATGTTTTTTCTTTAAAGTTCTCCTGGATCTTAAGTGAATATCTCAACCTGCAAAACAAAGAATTAAGGCAATTATCAAGATATTTTAGGCAAGAAACATTTCACTGAGTAATGAATAAGGAAATGTGGGTGCAAATTATTTACGATCCAATTCATTGCATTTTTCCTGTATAGACTGGACCAAAATAACTACAGAATATAAGAAAAGTCCTATAATACCATTTCAGTAGATGTAAAAACAATTCACTCTATAAAGAATAAATTTAATGTTGAAAGTCTGATTTCAAAACTTATCAAATTTCATCCCTAAGCATTTATTTTAAATATGTTTCAAATTTCAGTTAGTTCAAATCCATTTGGTTAGCATTAAACTTATAAGTACCAGTGAAAGGAATTATATTCAGTGAGTGGGAAGTGAAATGGAAACATCTAAACATAGTTGTACAGCACTGAGTAAAATTGCTGATATGATTTTCTCTACTCTTTCACTAAGATCTACATTTAACAATTCAGCATCTTGGGAAAACAGTAGATATAAACATAGCTTTATAAATGTTTTAGGTGCCTTTTCAGCTCTATAGCTCTACCTCACCAATTTTAAACTTTTAGTGCAAAAATTTTGAAGTAATCTTAACAAGTTACTGTGTTTCTGTAAATGAAGAATTCAAGAGTATTAATGGGGTATCTAAGATGACTGAAATGTCCAGAGTGGAGCGACTGTGTGACTTAGCTTTAATGTTGACAATGTTAAATCAGATTAGTTGTTTTTTTTCCACCATGTTATTGTTCATTAAATAGCTTTGCAACTTATAAGTACTATTTTGGAAATTGTTTTATTCTCAGCATAAATTACTGTTATATGAACAGTGCAGGGTCTTTTGGTGGAAACTATCTTTTAAATTGATTAAACCATGATAACTGATAATTATTATATATCTAATAGCTCATATACCTGCTTCATTTGCTTTGTCCTATGTTTTGGTGTGCTCTGTAGGAAAAACACTAGAGATTCTGTTTTTACACTGAGTTTTGAAATAAAATCACTGTAAAACATGCAGCAATGTGCCAACTGCAAAATAGTTAAATGACTTATTTCAAATACCACCAAACGAATTGTTTGCTGTGTATACAAAACAATACTTACATACTTACCCTGGAATTTGTATGGAATCCCTATTGGTTTAATTAGAAGTTGTATACATGGAGCATAGAAAGAGACTGACCTTCATTATATTATGGCTCTGTATAATTGACTTTTATAACAGATTAACCAACAGATAACCCTATTCACATAGCTTAATTATATAAATGGTTTGCATTCATTCATTTCCCAAAGTTCCTTTGATTTTACATTTGTATTTTTTTGAAGTTAGTATTTTCCTTTATTGAGGTATAATTTTCAAGTAAAAATTATATATATAGGAGGATAAAGCATGTTGATTTAATATACATATACATTGTAAAATGATTACCATGATCATTAACTAACACATCCATTGTTGATAGTGTTGTGTTGATCTCCCACTATGTATGTGTTTTCTCTGATGTCTGTTTTCAGAGATGACAACAGTTGTCTGATATATTTTGGTGCTCCTTCGTTTGGTGAGTATATGTTAATGAGTATTATTTCTTCTTGAAGTATTGTCCCCTTGATCATAATGTAGTGACCGTTGGAGTCTCTTTTTCTTTTTTTGAGTTTGAAATCTGTTTTATCTGATATAAGTATAGCTGTTCCTGCTTTCTTTTTTGGTCCATTGGCTTGTAGGATTGTTTTCCAACCTTTAACTTTGAGTCTATTTTTATCTTCTGTAGCTAAATGTGTTTCCTGGAGACAGCAAAAGGTTGGCTTTTGTTTCTTAATCCAGGCTGCAACTCTGTGTCTTTTTATTGAAGAGTTTAGTCCATTGACATTTAGAGTTAATATTGATATGTTAGCATCTGTATTTGCCATTGTGTTTGTCTTTCCTTTGATTTTATTTATTTATTCTTTTAATAACTTTTTTTTGGCCTTCTTTCGTTGTTATTTGTCCCTCTGAGGTTCTGGTTTTAGTATTCCTTGTAGTATTTTTTGGAGTGGGGGTTTAGTCGTAATGAAATTCCAGAGTTTCTGTTTGTCTGGGAAGGTCCTTATTCTTTCTTCATAGAGGAAGGAGAGCTTTGCAGGATAGAGTATTCTTGGTTGACATCTGTTTTCTTGGAGTCTGTTGACTATGTCCCTCCACTCTCTCCTTGCCCGTGCTGTTTCTTCAGAGAAGTCTGATGTCATTCTGATTGGTTTTCCTTTGAATGTTATCTCTTTCTTCCCTCTTGTCAGCTTCATTATTTTTTCCTTGTCCTGGATTCTTGGGAGCTTTACTATTATGTGTCTTGCTGTATTTTTCCTTTTGTCGTGGAAGTTTGGTGTTCTTCTTGCTTCTTGTATATTAATTTTCAGCTCCTTCTTCACATTTGGGAAGTTCTCTTCAATTATCTCCTGGAATATTTTCTCTGTTCCTACATCTCTCTCCTCTCCTTCTGGTATTCCTATAACTCTTATATTTCCTTTCCTCATGGAGTCAGGTAGTTCCCCAAGTCTTTCTTCATTCTTTTTCCTTCGTACTTCTCTTTCCTTTTCTGTTTTGGTTCTTTTTATTTCTGTGTCTTCAAGAGTACTTATTCGTTCTTCCATTTCATCTATTCTGCTTTCATTGCTTTTCCCAGAGTTCTTTAGTTCCTCCATTAATTCTTTGATCTCCTGCGTTTCTTTTGCTTCCCTCTTTAGGGACTCAATTTCCTTTTTCTGATCATTGTTTGAGTTCTGTCATTTTTTTAATCACGGCAATTTTAAATTCTCTTTCTGGACGGCTCAGAAGTTCTTCCAAGTTACTGTTGTTGCATTCTGGGGGGTGGTTTTCTCTTTGTGGTGTGCTTTTTTCCTGGGGAGTTGTTACTTTGCGTGTGGTTCTTCTACTCCCTACTGTCTGTTTTCTAATTTGTCGTATGCATTGGGACACTGTGTTGCTGGGACTGGCCGGCATCTTGGGTGAGCTTCTCCGCTCCCCTCTGGCTCCTCCAGGGGCCATCTGTCTATTTCAAGCAGTCTTTACTGAAGATAGGTCCCTGTTCTAAAATGCCGATGTGGGGACACACTCCCCTGTGCGCTTGGTCTGCCCCGGCGGTGGGTTCCCGCTCCCCCTCTGGGTTTGGACTGCAGGCCAGAAGGGGCTTGGCATGGGCGTGCTTCCTTGCTTACCTCTGGCTCCTGAGGGAGCCTTCTGCAGGCAGTCTTTACTGAAGAAATGTCTCTGTTCTAAAATGGTGATGCAGGGCGCACTCCCTGCGTGTCCGGTCTCAGGCACACTCTTCTGCACGCCCGGTCTGCCCTATCCGTGGGTGCCCGCTCCCCCTGTGGGCTCAGACTACTGGTCAGAAGGGGCCTGGAGTGGGCTAACTTCCCAGCTGGCCACTGGGTCCTCCAGGAGTCAAGTCGCTAGGTGGCGCCAGAGATCTCTCCTAGAGCCCTTGGGGAGCTTTTTCCACCCAGTGGGACAGGGAACAGAGCGGGAATGGTAGGGTAAACCTCAACGGCTTTGGGGTGCTGTGTCTGCCTTGTGTCCCACCGTCGTGGAGAACCCACGCCCCGAATTTCGTGCCCCGGGTCTCAGTTCCAAAGCCCTCAGGTCCAGGACGCAGGCTGTAGCCCAGTTCAGTGTCCGCAAAGATGGAGTCTTTTGCACCCAGCTCCCGTGCCTGGGTACCTGGTTCCTGATTACTCAGTGTAGGGTAAAGAAAATGTCAGGCTTTTCTGCCCTTCCG